AATTGCCTTTGTCTCATGATACTCTCCACCTATGTCAATGCACCCTCTATCATGATACTGTATATAAGCACCTCAATCAGATATTATTATTACTTTTTCTTAAAAAAGCATTCATAATGGGTCTCTCTTAGTTGTTTTTTAAAAAAAATGTCATTTAGCAACCCGATGTATGGCATGAATTCCCAGATTATTGTTTCCAGCACTGAAGCAAATCAGGTCTCTCCTATTCCACCTCTGATATCTAGCATCATTCAACAGCCGGGGGTTGGGGGGGTTACTTTCAGTTGAGGCTGTCCATGACCTTATTCTTAGTGAGGTAGAGACACATATTTGGTCTGGTGGTGGTTCTTCAGTGGGCTCTGAGGCTCCACACTTTGTTATGCCCAAGAAGAAAGGAGATTGGCATCCAGTCATCGACCTTTCTTGTATATATCAATTTGTAGGTCCTTTAAGGTTCACGATGGAGATATTTCTCACTCTGCATTACCAGGACTGTGGATGGCCAAATTCGATTTTGCTGATGTGTAGCTGCACTTTCACATTGTGGAATCATCTCGCCACTGACTGCATTTTGTGCACAAGGGTCAGGTGCTGCAGTTCATGGCTCTGCCCTTCAGATTAATATTGGCACCAATATGCTCTGCCGAATAGTATGAGCTTTTCCTCATCACCTCCATTTTCTAGGCCTGTGCATACAGCATTACATGGACGACTGATTACTGCTTGCACCATCTCATCTGTTGGTGTAACATCACACCCAGATTCTACTTTCAGAAGCAATCAAGGCAGGCTTTGTTATTGGAGCTAAGTAATCAGTTCACACTCCACAACAATATCGTCCATCTCTGTGTCTTTTTTCAAAATGTATTTCAGTTGAGCTCAGCCAACTCATATCCAACTCCACATTATGGAACAGTCATTCTATCTCTTACTCACCTTTCCTTTTCCCACTGCACAGATGGTTCTTTCTCCTTTGGGGATGTGGTCATCTTTCGAATCCCTCATTCCTTTGGGGCAAGTGCACATGAGATTCTTTTAGTTGTCTCTACATAATGGATCATGAACAGCAATTCACTGGATTCCCCAGTCTCCTTATTCAGGATCAATATCTTCAATTTCAAGTGGTGTTTAGATCAGAACAATACTGTGATAGGTGTTCCTATGCTGCCACCTCATCCAGAGATCCATCTCTTCACAGATGCCTTGCTTCAGGGATGGGGTGCAATCTCAATGGTCAGAAGTCCCAGGGCCTATGGATGGATGAGAAGGTTTCCCTACATAGTGTTTTAGAACTTCTTGCTGTTCAAAGGGTGATGCCTCAAGGTCTGGACTTAATAAGGGGAAAAATCGTAATACTTCACTTGGACAATTCCACGGTAGCGTCTTACACTTCCCATCATACTGTACTCAGTCTAGGTCTCTTCATTTTCGAATCTTGGATCTTCTTTATTGGGCCCACTCTCACCGTATCATCCTACTAACTTGCCATGTTCTGGGGGTGATGAATTTGGTGGCAGGTCAATTGTCTTGACTCAACCAGATTCTTTTGGCAAAATGGATGCTGCATTTTGAGGTTTTCCATTGGATTTACACTCGGTTTGGGACACTGATGGTCGATGCATTTGTCACTCATTGGAACATTCAGTTACTGGCATTTTGGTCTCCGGTAGCTCACCCTCAGGCATTGGCAATAGATGCATTCAGTCAGGACTGGACAGGATTGCACTTCTATGCCTTCCCACTGATTCATATGTTAAAAGTTGTACTAGTTATGACTTGTTCAACTTCTTGTTGGGTTCTGTTGATAGCACTGGATTGGCTGGATCAACCCAAGTTTCTGCTTCTGCAGTACCTTCAGGTGTGCCCACCTCTTCCACTTCCTCTTTGGCCATTTCTTTTCCAGCAGCCACTACCTGACATCGTACACCAAGCCCTCCTGAAGCTCAAGCTTCATGCATAGAGGTTATGCTGTCCTTTGCATAGCATCGGAATTTAACATCTAATGTTGTCTTTACATAGTCCTACGATGGACATTTCTCAATGGAAATGGCACACATATTGACAATGGTGTATTGCAAGGAGGTTGAACCCACTTCATCCAGACATGTCAACCATAACTTGTTTTGACCTGGCTCTTTGACAAGGATTTTGCATCTTCTACAATTGCCTTATATAAGGTGGCCTTATCGAATACCTTTAAATACTCGAAACAAAAATTATTTGTTTCCCCAGTGCTCTCTGGCCTCCTCGAGTCTTTTTAGGGTCCTTTGTCCCAAATGACCATTTCATTTACCTAACTGAGATATGAAGTTGGTATTTCATGCTCTTTCTCAACATCGTTTATCCCTTTAGCCTCATGTTTCAGGAATCATCTTTCCCTTAAGATTTATTTTTGCTGCTGTTCACCTGCAGATGTCACCATTCAAAGTTTCTTGCACTGCATGTACACAGGACACTTTATCATTCTAACTACATCCTCATATACCCATACAGGTCCTTCTTACCTTAAACACTGGCAGACAGGGAAGGGGATAAATTCTTTCCACTGATTCATTTGACCACTATTTCTCACCTCTATGACCAATCGGATCCTGATTGTTTATTATATGCAGTGAGGGCCTTAAAGTGTTAGGTTGCCCACACTAACACCTTTAGACATGCTAGACAACGACTTTATATTCATTGGGATCCTTTGGTTTCCTGGGATTTATCCCTGGTTACCTTGTTGAGGTTTGTTCAAAAATTGACCTATATTATTTATTCTGGGCTCTCTTTGGAGGTGAAGAGACTTTTGCAAGTCATGTCTCATCAGGTTCATCCCATTTTTATGTTCTCAGCAGCCCAGTTGAATTGGCTGCTGGAGGACATTGTGCAGGCTGGTATGTGGACCTCCTCCAATCCTTTTATCTCACATTGCTTGCATGATCTGGCAGTATCTTGCTTTGAGGGTTTTCACCATCCTCTATAACTATCTAAACCACAACCTTATAAGGATTTGTGAGTATCTTCATT